CTACACAGCCCTTAGTTCGAACTAGGTAAACCTCATTTCACGAGGACTAACGCCTAGTTCGAACTTACTAGTTCGAACTAAAGGGCTACACAGCCCTTAGTTCGAACTAGGTAAACCTCATTTCACGAGGACTAACGCCTAGTTCGAACTTACTAGTTCGAACTAAAGGGCTACACAGCCCTTAGTTCGAACTAGGTAAACCTCATTTCACGAGGACTAACGCCTAGTTCGAACTTACTAGTTCGAACTAAAGGGCTACACAGCCCTTAGTTCGAACTAGGTAAACCTCATTTCACGAGGACTAACGCCTAGTTCGAACTTACTAGTTCGAACTAAAGGGCTACACAGCCCTTAGTTCGAACTAGGTAAACCTCATTTCACGAGGACTAACGCCTAGTTCGAACTTACTAGTTCGAACTAAAGGGCTACACAGCCCTTAGTTCGAACTAGGTAAACCTCATTTCACGAGGACTAACGCCTAGTTCGAACTTACTAGTTCGAACTAAAGGGCTACACAGCCCTTAGTTCGAACTAGGTAAACCTCATTTCACGAGGACTAACGCCTAGTTCGAACTTACTAGTTCGAACTAAAGGGCTACACAGCCCTTAGTTCGAACTAGGTAAACCTCATTTCACGAGGACTAACGCCTAGTTCGAACTTACTAGTTCGAACTAAAGGGCTACACAGCCCTTAGTTCGAACTAGGTAAACCTCATTTCACGAGGACTAACGCCTAGTTCGAACTTACTAGTTCGAACTAAAGGGCTACACAGCCCTTAGTTCGAACTAGGTAAACCTCATTTCACGAGGACTAACGCCTAGTTCGAACTTACTAGTTCGAACTAAAGGGCTACACAGCCCTTAGTTCGAACTAGGTAAACCTCATTTCACGAGGACTAACGCCTAGTTCGAACTTACTAGTTCGAACTAAAGGGCTACACAGCCCTTAGTTCGAACTAGGTAAACCTCATTTCACGAGGACTAACGCCTAGTTCGAACTTACTAGTTCGAACTAAAGGGCTACACAGCCCTTAGTTCGAACTAGGTAAACCTCATTTCACGAGGACTAACGCCTAGTTCGAACTTACTAGTTCGAACTAAAGGGCTACACAGCCCTTAGTTCGAACTAGGTAAACCTCATTTCACGAGGACTAACGCCTAGTTCGAACTTACTAGTTCGAACTAAAGGGCTACACAGCCCTTAGTTCGAACTAGGTAAACCTCATTTCACGAGGACTAACGCCTAGTTCGAACTTACTAGTTCGAACTAAAGGGCTACACAGCCCTTAGTTCGAACTAGGTAAACCTCATTTCACGAGGACTAACGCCTAGTTCGAACTTACTAGTTCGAACTAAAGGGCTACACAGCCCTTAGTTCGAACTAGGTAAACCTCATTTCACGAGGACTAACGCCTAGTTCGAACTTACTAGTTCGAACTAAAGGGCTACACAGCCCTTAGTTCGAACTAGGTAAACCTCATTTCACGAGGACTAACGCCTAGTTCGAACTTACTAGTTCGAACTAAAGGGCTACACAGCCCTTAGTTCGAACTAGGTAAACCTCATTTCACGAGGACTAACGCCTAGTTCGAACTTACTAGTTCGAACTAAAGGGCTACACAGCCCTTAGTTCGAACTAGGTAAACCTCATTTCACGAGGACTAACGCCTAGTTCGAACTTACTAGTTCGAACTAAAGGGCTACACAGCCCTTAGTTCGAACTAGGTAAACCTCATTTCACGAGGACTAACGCCTAGTTCGAACTTACTAGTTCGAACTAAAGGGCTACACAGCCCTTAGTTCGAACTAGGTAAACCTCATTTCACGAGGACTAACGCCTAGTTCGAACTTACTAGTTCGAACTAAAGGGCTACACAGCCCTTAGTTCGAACTAGGTAAACCTCATTTCACGAGGACTAACGCCTAGTTCGAACTTACTAGTTCGAACTAAAGGGCTACACAGCCCTTAGTTCGAACTAGGTAAACCTCATTTCACGAGGACTAACGCCTAGTTCGAACTTACTAGTTCGAACTAAAGGGCTACACAGCCCTTAGTTCGAACTAGGTAAACCTCATTTCACGAGGACTAACGCCTAGTTCGAACTTACTAGTTCGAACTAAAGGGCTACACAGCCCTTAGTTCGAACTAGGTAAACCTCATTTCACGAGGACTAACGCCTAGTTCGAACTTACTAGTTCGAACTAAAGGGCTACACAGCCCTTAGTTCGAACTAGGTAAACCTCATTTCACGAGGACTAACGCCTAGTTCGAACTTACTAGTTCGAACTAAAGGGCTACACAGCCCTTAGTTCGAACTAGGTAAACCTCATTTCACGAGGACTAACGCCTAGTTCGAACTTACTAGTTCGAACTAAAGGGCTACACAGCCCTTAGTTCGAACTAGGTAAACCTCATTTCACGAGGACTAACGCCTAGTTCGAACTTACTAGTTCGAACTAAAGGGCTACACAGCCCTTAGTTCGAACTAGGTAAACCTCATTTCACGAGGACTAACGCCTAGTTCGAACTTACTAGTTCGAACTAAAGGGCTACACAGCCCTTAGTTCGAACTAGGTAAACCTCATTTCACGAGGACTAACGCCTAGTTCGAACTTACTAGTTCGAACTAAAGGGCTACACAGCCCTTAGTTCGAACTAGGTAAACCTCATTTCACGAGGACTAACGCCTAGTTCGAACTTACTAGTTCGAACTAAAGGGCTACACAGCCCTTAGTTCGAACTAGGTAAACCTCATTTCACGAGGACTAACGCCTAGTTCGAACTTACTAGTTCGAACTAAAGGGCTACACAGCCCTTAGTTCGAACTAGGTAAACCTCATTTCACGAGGACTAACGCCTAGTTCGAACTTACTAGTTCGAACTAAAGGGCTACACAGCCCTTAGTTCGAACTAGGTAAACCTCATTTCACGAGGACTAACGCCTAGTTCGAACTTACTAGTTCGAACTAAAGGGCTACACAGCCCTTAGTTCGAACTAGTGGAGCGCTAGTGTAGCGCCTATCAAAGTTAATTCAAACTAACATCTGTTAGTTCGAATTACCTTTGTAGTGTAGACATACTCTTGTTTCCTTTCTGGTTAACTTTAGAGATTTTTAGAAGGAGCCCCCTTCCCCCACACCCTACCTTGTTTGACAATCTCTTAAATCATATTAAAGGTGGTGACATCTGTCTCTATGGGGAAAAGAGAGGAAGCTAGTAGAAATGAGCTGCAACTGTTAAAGTCTGATCCTATTTCCTCTTCGGTGACTTGGTACTTCACATTGGCCATGAACGAAATGGCGATCTTTTGAGATGTCTGCAACTTTAGACGTCTTATTGCATTTATGTTTGTTCTATATGAGAGCTATACAACATGTAATGAATGTGTGGCTTGTGACGCTAAACATACATTGGTCAGGCATCCCAAACTGCTGCATATGACACTCTACTGCTTGTAGGAAGACACACACCTTTCCCCCGGAGTTTGGAAAGCCTGTTTTAGCATCTGTAAATGGTCTGTAAAGCATGCTACTATCATGCCCATTCTCAGAGCAAGTGGGTTTGCCTTACCAGGCTGTGGCTCTTTATTTTGTGTAGGTTTTGGTCCTTTGTTTTAATATTAGTAGAGGAAAGTGTGGACTGTGGGACAGAGGGATCATTGCAGCTCCAGGCATATTACCCCCAAAACACCCACCATTAATGAAAGTAGTGACTGTAATTCCGCATAACCTCTGAAAAGTCTGCCCCTTTTCTGCCTCCCAGAGATCAAAGAACTAGGTGAGCCACACCCCCTGCTGGCTCTGATGGGGGGAAGAGTGCCCATATTTGTTTTTAATGCTTCCTTTTGGCCAAGGCTGTGTGGAAGGATCTAAGCATATTACTTTGTTGCGGAGTTACCACTCTTTCTTCAGGTCCACTTGAATCTTAAACTAAAAAGCTACTCAATATCATCCTTTCAGTTCAGACAGTGGAACTCCCTCCTGGATCACTGCTAAGTGTAATTATGGGAGGCACTGTATAGCCAGGAGTTGCAATATACTGCTCTCATGGAGGGAAGAGGAGTCCAAGGGAGATTGCTTGGCATATTGGACCAAATTCTGTAAGTGGGTGCAGTTCCATTCAAGACCGTAAGAACAATATTTACAATGGGACTAGACGAAATAAAAATTTAATGTATTTGTGTAGACATAAACTCCCTGACTTGGACATGTTTTTACATATTTTTCTGATTTTTGTATGACACTACCCATGAGTTGCATTTTCGTACACCAGCTAGGACTCTACTGTTTGCATTGTAAGAGTACCTGCAGTCTTCAGCCTATTCCACTATTTAGCTCCCCTAAGAAATGGTGCTGAATTCTGAAAGACGACTTTGTGTTTTCAGTTACTGGCCAGCACTGGCTGATTCAAGACCATTCTGCTCATGTAAACTTAATATCACTAGTTCATTGTCCCATTGGAGAGAAATGAGTGTTTGATCCAGTTTGCTACAAGCATCCTTTCTTTCTATATCTGCTTGACCTTCTCAGTTGATACAGATGGGGCGGGCGAAACTAATCATAAAATGATGAAGGGAATGCTGCACTAGTCATTGATCCATCTGAAATTAACTGTAGCACAATAAGTCTTCCTAATGGCATTCCGTTATAAGCTCCAGTCATGGGTGTTTTTTTTTCTTTCCTAAAGAAGGGGTTAATATGGACTCATCTGCTCTTTTGCCACTGGGTTTTGTTTTATTGATTTTACTGTTTTCAGAGCAGTTTCCGCCATGTCACTCAGATTTCCTGCTGTCTTTTAGAGCTAGTTGGGGCTAAGAAAACAATAATATCTTTTGGTATTTGGACAGTGTTTCTCCCCCTCCCTCCAACCTTCCCTAAAAAAGTGTCATGAGGCACACAAATTCCACCTATCTTCCTTAGGCTCCTTTGAAAGTCTCACACTCCATGCTGACCTCCGTTGACTGTGATTTTACATTTGGTTATTCTCATCCCTCTTTTAGCTTCTTCGGGAACTCATAGAACGGAAAACCAGTTCACTGGACCCCAACGATCAGGTGGCGATGGGCAGGTAAGTGTTAACCAGCTTCACCCCACAGTCACTTCGATTCCATAAGTGCAGAAATTCCCCAAAGTTCCCCCTCCTGTTTCTGTATGTTTTTGCCATTGACTTCCTCAGGAAAAGTTGGGCATAACAACAAAAGGAATGGTGGCTGGTTAAAAGGAATGGTTCAATATCAGCTAGGCAGCATATTCTCAGTGAGGTCTTTATGGTTCTGGGGCTCATTGCCAGAATTTGTATTGGCTGGGGTTCCAGCCACATGGGAATCTTCAAGCCATATGGCAAGGCCCCCCTTGTTTTGCCCAAAATTGGAGTGGCATGGGGGTTTGATTAGGGCTGGGAAGAAGGACGGAGACAACTGGGATATGCTGGAATGGGAAATGCTTCTGGGAGTTAGTATGTTAGGTAAGAGCAGCAGTGCTTGTACTGCCTTGTAGCAAACTTTGGAACAGTCAGATTCAGTTGTTGGTGCAGCACCTAGAAGAATGGCAATAAATAAAACCAACTAAATCACCCCAATAATAAGTAATGGCTTAAAGACGATGCCTGAAAGCATTATTCCTCTTGCAGCCAGACTTATTTCTTTTCACTGCCCCTTGCGCTCTTTCTTGCTTTCAAGACCTGGTTTTCCTGTCTCTACTTTCTGACTCCGAGTGTGAGGAGAAGAATCTAACTGTAGCTTGACAGATGTGCTCTAGATTTAGCGACTGGTGAAATTTGGCATCCGATTAGGAGCTCTGATTTGTCATGTAAAGAATCAAAGTTGGCATATTAGTGCGGTTCCCATGTGTGTATCTTCCCTGCTGTTTTATTTTAAAGGTGAAGTACAATTAAAGCTCCATGCAGGAATGTTGTGCACCAAAAATAAAATGTATGCTTTGAGGGGAAGCTCTTACTACTTACTCTAATTCTGTAGTTAGAAAGTGCAGAAAATTCCACATACTGCTTCACGAACAGTATACATACAGTATACAGTACCACAAGCCATAATTTTAAAAGCATAAAAAGGAAGTAAAACTGAAAAGGCTAGAATAAAATTCTCCACTGGAAAATGATCCAGGGATGTATGTGTATGGGGGGGGGGGAGAAAGGGAAAATGCTTTATGAAATTTTGTGTTAGCAAAATAAATTTTATCCCTGTGAAATATTACTTGAATTTTAGAACAGTAGGTCAAATTTATTTTGTGTATGTCTGGAATATTATGGAAAGCTATTCACAATAATTTAATGTGGTATAACCAAAATTACATTTAAGTGGTGATTACATTGTACATTTATCTGACTTTACAATAAAATAGATTACAGTAATTAAGATTATATTAAGATTGCGGTAATTGGATTTTGCTAGATTTTTTCCCCTGATATTGAGTTTTCTTTGTATAAATTAGGTAAGATGACGCTTGTTTCTCTTCCTCCCCCTTCCCTCCCCCCTCCCAAAAAAAGTAACTAGTAGCCATAAAAACTACTTTGACTTGGGCAAATTCTGTATGAGCAATTGAACCCTCCCTTCTAAACAGTGTTGAGAAATAAGCAGCACTTTCGTAATTTGCATGTTGTGTTCCTTTTTTTTTTTTTTTTTTTAACAAGAAATGCACTTGACACTATGCAATGATTTTTAGCAGGGGATTTGCCAGTTGCTGTAGTTACTGGTTATGGGGAAAAAAACGCTTGCTTGTCATTTTATATATGCTTTCTGAAAGCCTGGAAGGAAACTAATTCAAATGGAACTGCTGTATAATGTTAAATCTGTTTATAAAGTTAGTTTGACCCTTCCCACTTAAAGAACCAACTGCATATATTGCTTATGATAAATGAAGATAGGTAGACAATCTATTCTACTGCATGCTTTCTTTATACAAAATAGAACTCCTAATAGCTGTTGAAACAAAAGCAGTACACCTTTAAGGCTTTTTTTACAGGCCTCAACATTTATTTTTGAAGAAGAAAATCTTTTGAATTCTAAAGATTATTATTATTATTTATTTTTTTAAGAAAAAATTATCCATAGCCAAGGCAGAATAAAAACTTAGGGCCAGATTGTACTCTCTCTGACTTTTTCTTGCACATGGGACGTGAATTCCCACTGAATATTGATCATTGCATCAAGACCAGGCAGGTTTATCTGTCTTCCAAAGAATGACTGACGCTTCAGCCTCTGAGATCTGCCAGAGTTCATGGTCATCTGTATGTAAGCTCTTCATTGCTAACATTTCCTGTGCTCTCCCAATTGTACCTATGTATTCGTCCTCGGGAAGACTGGTGTTTGCTAATGAAAGTTAGGGCAGCATTGTCTTGCCTTGGAGTTCCAAACAGGGCTTGGGAGAGGGACAGTGCCACAGTTATTTGGGTTTAGCCAAAGAACAATGCATTTGATGTTTTAAAATTGTATTTCTGTTTTTACCATTGTTATCGTCTTCCTAAAAACCGGCATGATAAAACAGCCCTAGCAATGATACATAACCACCACTTTGGATTCCCTAGGCAGTGGCTGGCCATCCAGAAGTTACGAAACAAAATTCAGAAGAAAGTGGACCGAAAAGCCAGCAAAGGAAGGAAAATCCGGTGAGTGGCAGCTTCTTCCAACTACAGAAAATTAGCTCTTTGCACCCATTGTAACCTGCCCTGCCTTTGGCACCAAAAAGATTTGCTAGATTTGTTTTGTCACTGCAAAGTAGAGGATGTTGCTCTGAGACATGCCTGTTCGGAAGGAGGGAACTCTTAATGAACCTAGATCTTGCAATCAGTTGGATATAATTGGAGTGGAAATTGCCCAAATCAGTCCATACAAGAATGTTTCATTGGGCATAAAAGTGTTAGGGAGAGGCTTTCAGAAGTGCATAAGATATTGAGGAGCACGAGTCCAAATGAAAGTTAATAGGACTTGTGCTCTGAAATCCTTTAGGTCAAAATTTACAAAAATATTCTAGTGGCAAAAGATGTGGATAGGTATGTATGGGAGATTACAAAATGCCTGTGTTAGACACCTGGGATAGACTTTCAGTGGGAGTTAGGTGGCTAATGGAACTTATAAGAACACCTATCTGCATTTTTAGGCACTTAAATTCTTTTGCAAATTTGGCCCAAAATCACAAATTTTTGTGATCTTCTCCTTCTGATGTTTGATTTGCAAAGTCTTCCAGATTGTGGGGTTAGAATG